TATAGATACAAAATATATATATATATATATATATATATATATATATAAACAATTAAAAATATTATGTTATTAATGTTCATTAGAGTCACTTTAGAGAGAAAATAAATAATTCTAAGTTGAGAGCTTTTAGTCCGGTTTCCAAGATTGTTTTAACATCTATGTTAGCTTAATAGGGGATAACCAATTAATATATAACTCTTCAAGAATAGGTAGAGACCTCTCAACAAGTTATTCACAATAGATAACTCAACATTATTTTCATTATAAAACCTTTTTATTATAATTTTATAACAATTATAATTAACACATAATTGATAATTAATTATAATTAAATAATATTTTAATTATTATTTAATACTAGTCCAATTATAATTAAAATAATTTAACTAACATATTGGATATGTGGTGTAAGATTAGGAGGACATTAAATGTATAATTTGAACTCTCTACTCTTAATTTCTTAATTATGGTTAAATTTTATTTATATTGACTATTTTTACATTTAAATTTTTAACTCATTTTTTTTTTATGTTTAATGAGTCTTTTTTCATTTCATACAATATTTATGTCTTTATATATATATATATAATTACTTTACTTGAACAGTATCTCAATTCCTCCGCTACTTGCAAACAGTAAAAACAACGATACTGATGGTAGCTTGAGTAATTAGTTAGGTCATGGAGGAGATATTTAGTTATTTTTTATTCATTAAACAAAAAATTATGTTCCAACTCATCATTCGCCACCAAATTCATTAATTAAATAACCTGCGCACTAATTGACTTAGTTTATTTTATTTTTATAAATGTTTGTGAGTGTGTTCATGCATCTTTTGAAAGAGGTCGTAAGATCTATTTTAAGACCCTAGATTGATATGGAATTTTTAGGATCAATTTCTATAAGTTTTATAAAAATAATGTTTAATTAATAAAAATTATGTTCTATAAATATATATTCGTTTTTAATTATCTTTCAACACATTACATAGATTATGTTTACAGAAAAAAAATACAACTAACATATTACACTTTTTTTTTATAATGTAAAAAAGGGATGTATATATGATATCTTTTGTTAATGTAAGAGAGAAAAAATCATGTAATGAAGAAGATGGCGTTGGTTACGGAATATCAATGTGTATAGCTGAAGGTTAAATTTTCGAGTTTTTAATAGGTGGGAAGTTCCCTCACGTTACCCCTTTTCTCTGAAATCACTTATAGTATATTATCTCTTAAAAAGTTGGAAGATTTTTCTTCTAAATCAATGTGATATTTAATAACATATCGTGCAGTTTCATAATAATAAATAATTTTTCATGCATATAATTAAATATTTATTAACAAAGACAAGTTTAAGAACTAATATCTTTGACATATTAGAAAGGAAAAAGTTAAGTAATGAACAAGATGGCGTTACTTACGGCAGAAATCAGTGTGTGTTGCTGAAGATGATATACAACTTTTTAAGAAGTGAGGAGTTCCCTTACGTAACTACTTTTCTCTGCGTATGAATATATATTCCTTAATTTATAACTTATTACTTATTGTACCGTCTCGGTCATGGACCGACTCGATCTCCTTAATGGTGATAGAGTGTTAACGTTCCTATACTCGGCAATTATCCGACTAGGTCTCCAGGCCCTAAACCTTCTCGCCTTAGGGGGACTCGGAAATAAGGCGACCGCGATCTCCTTTTTGGCATCAACCCGGAGAAGGGCTCAGTACGAGCCTATTCGGTCATGGCCCGACTTGACCTGGCAAGCTTGATTCTTCTCGCCTACAAGGGGACCGCTCGGCATGTACCTCGCTGGACTTTCGGTATAGGCCCTGTCGGTCGGATCCCGACTAAGTTCGTTCCCGCTAATCCCGCATCGACGTGATAAGAATGGTTAGGAAAATCCCTTGATCCTCGGGGTCCAAGAGGCCCACGAACAACTCACCATAAAACCCAAAACCCTAGAGTTAAGAAGACAGATTACACTTTTGAATGCTTTGACTCTAAGGCACGATCTAGAAAAAAACCCTAGTCCACCCTTTGGCCGGAACATTTTGGCGCCCACTGTAGGGCTACGGTGAAACTTTTCCTACGCCTCAAGTCATACAGAAAGACCTACACTTTACCATGGCAAGAGGCGGCAACAAGAACAACTCTCAACCCCTTACCATGGAGGAGATGATGGCCATGATCAATGGCCTACGGGAGGATAATGCACGCTCCGGGGAGAGAGAGGAGGCCATTCAGCGCGAGAACGAGGAGATCAGGAGGCGAGCGGATGAGTTACAGGCCAGAATAGAGGCCAACACCAGAACGGTGGAGGAGGATGTCATGCTGGAAGTCCCAAGGGATTTTCGGCCTTTCTCGGAAGCCATAGAGGCCGAGGCCATCCCTAGGGATCATCGAATACCGCAGGTCGAACCCTTCGACGGAACGCAGGATCCCAGTCAACACCTAACGGATTTACGAGCTCAGATGTTGATTTGCGGGGGAAGTATGGAGGTCCGCTGCAAGCTATTCATGGGAACACTCAAGAAGGCGGCGCTAGATTGGTTCAGTGGCCTCCCTGACCGATCCATCACCGACTTCGATGTTTTCAGTCGGATGTTTATGGCACAATTCGCTGCTAACAAAAAGAAGCCGCCGATCACGTCGGATTTGTTCGACCTCAAGCAACAACGCGAGGAGTCTCTGAAAGATTTCCTACAACGATTTAACGAGGTCGCCTTGAGGATAGCATCGCTGGACGAGAGGATGGCGGTCATCGCTTTCCAGAAAGGTTTGAGGTCCGGAGCCTTCGACATTGCGCTCGAAAGGGCGAATTGTCAAATGATGTCGGAGGTGAGGGCTTTCGCCTTGAGCCACATCAAGACGGAAGAGAATCAGATTATTAAGAGGGCAGCTGAGAACCATGAAACAGGGGGTAGCAATAAGGAGGGAAACAAACATCTTCGACCACGATCAGACTGGAGTAAACGACGTGACCGATACAACGTGAAGGAGGGCAACTACAGGCAGGCCGATCACGGTGGTCGGTCAAGGGCCGAGTGGACGCGCAGCAATGAAGAAGAGAAGTTTACTCCGCTCATTGTACCCAGGCGACAGATACTCCACGATGTCAACAGCGCATCGTTGTTTAGGTTCCCGGCGGCGACGGAGCGTCAGTTGGGCCCTTTCAAAACCGATTGGTGTGAGTTCCATAGGACTCACGGGCACTCAACTGAAAATTGTTTCGTTTTGGGAAGACAGATCGAGCGCTTGATCAAGGAGGGACATTTGAAAAAATTCATTGCAGGTAAGCAGGAGGAGGGCCCGTCCGACAGGCGACGTAAGCGTGAAGGAGAAGACACCAGAAGAGGAAGACACGAAGGAAGGTCTCCCCCGAGAGATTCTCCTGAAAAAAGTGCAGAGACTCACCAGCAAGCCATCCATGGAGACTTTAACACTATAGCGGGGGGTTTGCTGGAGGAGGCCCGACGTCAGCAGCACGGAAGAGATATTCTCGTTCCGTGTTATCGGTCTCAGGCTGGGTGGGACCAACTCGGTCACCTATCACCTTCTCGGACGCCGACTTCGAAGGTGTGTCCCCGCATGAGGATGACCCGATAGTCGTTTCGACGATAGTCATGGGCTACAACGTGAAACGCGTACTGGTGGACCAAGGCAGCTCGACGGACATAATGTTTTGGGAAGCTTTTATCGGGATGAGAATTCCGACTGACCGTCTCATGCCATATGTAGGTACACTAGTTGGTTTTGCAGGTGATCAGGTAACAGCTAGGGGATACGCCGACTTGGAGACAACCTTTGGCCAAGGAGACCACATGAAGACTATCACCGTCCGATACCTGGTGGTCAATGCTCAGTCATCCTACAGTATGTTACTCGGACGACCAACTTTGAATAAGTTGGGAGCAGTCATTTCCACGCCCCACCTGAAGGTGAAGTACCCATTACCCAGCGGGAGGGTAGGGGTCCTCTGTGTTGATCAAGAAGTAGCGAGGAAGTGCTACGAGGACTGCTTAAGGGCGAGGAGACAGTTATATGTGACGCAGGTTGATCGAGAGGTTCAGTCAATCGAGTTAGATCCGAGGATGACTCACTTCGATTCCAGACCAGCCCCAGCAGAAGATGTGAAGGATATTAGCTTGGCCGAGGGAAAAACGGTGAAGATTGGTGTGTCTTTAGGTAAAGAAGATGAGGAAGGATTGTTGACCGTATTAAAGAGCAACATGTCCGCTTTCGCATGAGTGCTTCTGATATGCCGGGCATCGATCCCGACTTCCTATGTCATCGCCTCATGGTCGACCCCAAGGCGAAGCCGGTGATTCAAAAGCGGCGGAAGTTCGGAGAGGATAAAAAAAGGGCCATAGCCGATGAGACAAAGAAGCTGTTGATGGCTTGTCACATTCGGGAAATCCAATACCCGACGTGGCTAGCAAATGTGGTAATGGTAAGGAAGAGCAACGGAAACTGGAGGATGTGCACGGACTTCACTGACTTGAACAAGGCGTGCCCAAAAGATTCATACCCGCTGCCTAATATAGATTGCCTGGTCGACAACGCATCGGGGTATGAACTGTTAAGTTTCATGGATGCATACTCGGGATACAATCAGATCAGAATGCACCCTGCCGACGAAGATAAAACAGCATTCATGGCCGACCAAGCCACCTACTGTTACAAGGTGATGCCTTTCGATTTGAAGAACGCTGGGGCGACCTACTAGAGACTCATGAACAAAGTGCTGGCCGATCAACTCGGTAGGAATGTGGAGGCATACGTAGACGACATGGTGGTCAAGTCGCCCAGCGTGAGTCGGCACTTTTCCGACCTGCAAGAGTCGTTTGACACCCTAGCACGCTACCAACTCAAAATGAACCCCGCGAAGTGCTCTTTCGGTGTACAGGCAGGAAAATTCCTCGGTTTCCTGCTGACTCATCGTGGCATCGAGGCAAATCCCGATAAGTGCTCGACTATAATTAGTATGAGAAGCCAAGCTACAGTAAAGGAGGTACAACAGTTGACAGGGAGGATGGCCTCCTTTTCTCGGTTCCTTTCGAAGGCAGCAGACAAGTCGCTCCCCTTGTTCCAATGTTTGAGGAAGAATGACAAATTTGGGTGGACAGATGAATGTGAGAGAGCATTCGGCGAACTCAAGCAGGCTCTCACCTCACCGCCAATACTCTCCAAACCGTAGGCCAATCTCCCCTTACTGATGTATCTGTCGGCATCCGATAGCGCCATCAGCACAGTCTTAGTACAGGAAACAGGTAACTCACAATTGCCCGTTTATTTTGTTAGCAGGGTCTTACAAGGAGCAGAGGTCCGTTATCAGAAGATAGAAAAGTTAGCCCTGGCGATACTGGTCACGGCGCGCAAGCTGAGACATTATTTCCAGAGTTATGAGGTCGTAGTCCGGACAGACCATCCGATCAGGCAAGTGCTGCAGAAGCCCGACTTGGCAGGAAGGATGATAAAGTGGTCTGTGGGACTATCAGAGTATTCCATCAAGTACGAGCCGCGAGGAGCAATCAAAGCTCAAACGCTAGCCGACTTCGAGACGGAACTAACCTCACCAGCCGATGAAGGTAGTACTGAAGAGACACAGTGGATCTTATCGGTAGACAGAGCTTCAAACCTTGGGGGAAGTGGAGCAGGGATTGTCTTGGAAGGACCAGGAGGTATTTTATTGGAACAGCCATTGCGAATATAATCTTAAACTATCCTAAACTCAAAGGGTTGCAAGAAAAATCACTAAGAAAAAGGGAATAAATACGCGTACCTAGGGGGTTTTCTCTCACAACTTCACCCACTAAAATAGGCTCAAAACCACCGTGGACCGCCGTAACTCAGGGCGAAGGAGAAAGAGCCACCACCGGACAGGAAAACGCGCGAAGAAGGAGAGGCAAATGACTTGAAAAAATGGGTAGCCCCCTTTTATTTATAAACATGAAAGGCCGCGCGTGGGGGGGTGCACCCAAAGGCCACAACGCGCGTAGGACGTCGTGACCCCAAACCAAAACGGGCCCCACGATTAAAACCCTAGCGATAGAAGCCGCCACGTGGCACTACCATTACTCACATCCCTGCAGCACTGTCTTCGCAATAAATACATGTCCCCTCATGCGTAAGAGGGGGGGACGCGTCCTATCAACTTCCAAGAAGTCATAACGCTTGCGGTCCGTCTCGATGAAATCCCGACTCTTATTCTCGGCCAAATGCCGAGAAGACCTAAAAGAAGAGAGCCGCTCTAGCCTTTTCGCCTCACAGGCTCAAGGCTGGAAGGCAAGTGTACCGTATCGGTTGATCGCCGACAACCCCTCTCGGCCCAATACTGGGGCGACGCAAAGAAGAGAGTCGCTCTAGCCTTTTCGCCTCATTGGCTCAAGGCTGGAAGGCAAGTGTACCGTCTCGGTCATGGACCGACTTGATCTCCTTAATGGTGATAGAGTGTTAACGTCCCTACACTCAGCAATTATCCGACTAGGCCTCCAGGCCCTAAACCTTCTCGCCTTAGGGGGACTCAGAAATAAGGCGACCGCGATCTCCTTTTTGGCATCAACCCCGAGTAGGGCTCAGTATGAGCCTATTCTGTCATGGCCCGACTTGACCTGGCAAGCTCGATTCTTCTCGCCTACAAGGGGACCGCTCGGCATGTACCTCGCTGGACTTTCGGTATAGGCCCTGTCGGTCGGATCCCGACTAAGTTCGTTCCCGCTAATCCCGCATCGACGTGATAAGAACGGTTAGGAAAATTCCTTAATCCTCGGGGTCCAAGAGGCCCACGAACAACTCACCATAAAACCCAAAATCCTAGAGTTGAGAAGACAGATTACACTTTTGAATGCTCTGGCTCTAAGGCACGATCTAGGAAAAAATCCTAGTCCACCCTTTGGCCGGAACACTTATACATAAAATAATAAAAACATATGCATTAAGAACTCATTAAACATGAACAAATGTGTATATTACTCAATGTATGTACTCAGAAGATGAGTTCAACTGTTCAATCTTACGGTAAAAGATACATGCCTCTATAAAAATAAAATAAAAAACTAAGGATAAGTTGGTCCCTTGCATGTTGCACGAATGGAGAAAAAATAATATATGATATCATACAATTATTTATACTCGGATATGTTAACCTATGTTTGGTTTAAATGTTTAATTAATGTATATATAACGAGTAACGTAACGACTCATATTAGTGAGTTTTAATTTAAACGCACAAATTGTTTTAATGGTTGAAAAGATTTCCTCATACATGTATGGATGTAAGATTTAGCAGCAGGAGGTGGCAACAAATCTAAATGGCAAAGTTTGTGATCCTACGTACCTTATTATAAATGACGTGGTTCGCTTAATTAACACTTCCACTAGCTATTACGTATTTAGTTTTTTCAAAATATATAAATATTATATATATTCATCATATATACTACTATTTGTTTTTCATTTTGAATTTGAGTTTGATTGCAATGGTATTATTTTCTAGGTCGTTGTCAATAATTTGTCGTTTAATGTGTTTAGTTAAATATGCCTTTAAATATATTAGAAATAATAAATAATAATAATAATAATAATAATTATTATTATTATTAAAAATTACAACAAGAGCTAGGTCGATATACCAAATTTGACAAACCAATTTAAATAGAGAGATGTTCATATTTAGTGTCCAACTGTGTTTTTAAATATAGGATTGTCTAAGAAAAAGATATCTATAAAAAATAAAATATTTTTTTAGATCGAAAATTAGTTTAAAAAAAATATAATACTGTCTATATTAAAAAAATGATTTATATTAACATATATTTCAGTGAAATATTCATATTTTAGGATTTAGATGAAATTATGGAATATCATAACCAAGTTTACTAAAGAATAAAACATTAAATACTGGATATAAAAATACAGCATTTTGATACATTAAATATTTTACATCTATACTTTTATTGAACTATTATCACAATGATTAATAATACTCACCATATATATACTTTCTCTACTGTCAGTGTTTAAAAAATAAATTGAATCCAAATAACACTTTTTAATGTTCATTGGCGGTTACCAAACTGCCACAAAACCTTTTTAATATTTTCCTAGAAATACACTACACAATACACAATTTGATGAGAAAAAAGTCAAAATATCTTAGCTTCTAAAAATTATAGTTGTCCTCTACACATTTTAAAAATATTTATAACCTTTTCATTTTCAATACTATGACAAAAATATTTCTTTATGTATATAACCAAATCATTTGTTTTTCACATAACTTTCTTACCTTTATTAAAAAATTGATGAGGGCAACACTTATTTTTTTAGGGAACAATTTTGTTTTTAAATTAAACATAACAAAGTATAATAGAAAAATCTCGTGCATTTCACCTACATCCGCCCTTGGACAAGACAAAAGAAAAAATATATAATAAGTTTTTACGATATTTGTTTTTGTTTCATCTCTCACTATCACATTATTTATTATATATATATATATATATTAATAATGAAGAAAGACGTAAAAAAAAAATTGTATTAATTATTATAAAAATATTATTTCTCCTTATAAAAAGGATCTAAGAGAATAAAATCATCTCTTGTTTAGTTTTTTTTTTTTTTTTCTAAAAAATAATTACCTTTAATTAAAATAATGTATGTTTAAACCATTAAAATTAATTTAATGATTGGGTGAGGAGAGATTAAAATAATTAAAAATATAAAAACTTAAATTTAATTTTTATTATGATCATTTTTGTAATTTTTTTAATCTTAAAAAAAAATAATATATGATTAGTGAAAAAGTAATTAGTAAGTTTTTTGGTGGTGCAAGTATAAGAAATGTGGAAGGGCAGATTCATTGAACGTGGACGTAGACGATTTTAACTCTTGGAGCCTTATATTATATATATAGTATTGTGATCCAATGCCAGTTCCAAGTTAAAACTGAAACTACCATTGCGAAGACGATGACGAGAAGGGAGGGTGAAACGGCGTCGTTGGAGTGGGAGCTGAAGAAGCGGAACGAGGAGCTGGAGGAGGAGCTGAAGCAGAGCAAGGAGAGGGAGGAGCACGCCAGGCGCCAACTCCGCGCCGCACTGGATCGCCTCCGCGTGGCCGAGGACGCCGAGGAGCATCTCTCTTCTCAGCTCGGTAGCCTTGAAGCCGAGGCGCTGCAGCAGGCGCGTCACTACCACGCGCGCATCGTTTCACTCGCCGCTCAGCTCTCGCAAGCGCACTCTCTCCTAAACCCCCTTTCTCCTCCTTCCTGAACCCTAAATCAACCGCTGCACCCTTCTGCATGCGTCCCAATTTGCAGATCCTCAAGCTTTCGTTAGTTCGGTTTGTACAGTGATTGCTTTCTGTTCATTCTTGTGTCGATCGCTTGTATTTGGATTCTATAAATATGAAATGCATCACTTGTGAATATAACGAAAATACAACAAATGCTTAATGATATGTTTAAATGACTTACTTTAACCATTAGGGTTAGCAAGAAGGATTCTGATAATCAGAAGTATGAAGACTAAGTTCAATCTTTGTTAATCCTCTTTGTATTTTTTTCTATTTATAAAAAAAATGGCTTAGTTTGTTGTACCGAATTTACCTGATTACTTAACATGCATCAAGTCAAATAAGAACTCTTGTCATAGATCACCTAATAAACCCGAAAGTAACCTCCTTTTATATTTTAATAGTTTGTGATTGTGATCTATCTATCAATCTAATTGAAACACTTAAAAAACATTAAAAAAAAATATAAGAGTGAAAAAATACCTTTAAGTTTTGATTCGGTGCCTGGAGATAGGAAAATAATAATTTATAAATATTTTTTTTTAATCCATTGAGAAATCTTTTCACGGTAAATCGTGACTATTCAATAATTATCAAGAACCAACAATCTCTTGAATATGATGACATTACTGTTTTCAATTTGTGTAGTCAAATTAATTACTATATTTTCTTCATTTTTTTGTTATAAAAATGGTAGACATGACATGTTTAGGAAATACAGACCAAACATTATCATTCACTCGGTGTTAGTAAAAGTTTGATTGTGTCTGATTTGAATAGGACTTTCTACTTGTCAAAATGAGAACCAATAGAAATTTATTAGAAAAATTTTACTTTTGACACCAAGAAATTTCTTTTAGTAAATATGTTTATTAAAGAAAAATTTTAATAGTCGTAAGATATCAAACTTGCAACATAAAAAATTGCAAACTCAAATCAAATCCTAAATTATTTGTCTCAATCTATGATGACACTATCTTTTCTTTTTTGGTTTATGAATAGAAGAACATTTTATTTTATTTTATTTGACCTATTAGTTATTTGTGAAGTGTGGGATATGTGATTAAAATAATAAATATGTGAATTAAATTATTTTTTAAAATCATGATAAGATAGGTGGCTAAAAAAAAAGGAATAGAGAATAAGGAATAATTGTTACAATAACTACTTCAAGAATAGAACAACGGCAAATACAATGAAAGTAGAGAGACTTAAGTGCTTTAGTGATAATTATACTTTTTATCGAAACATTTTCATCACACCATGGATTCTAATAAAACTTTTTTGGTGGCCACACTCTTAAAACATAAATCTTGTGGTTAATGACTGTTTGAATCCATAAAAAAAAATGTTGTGTTCAAGTCAATACACTTAATATACTATAATTAGTATGCAACAGAAATATAAACTAATCAACTACTCTAAGGTTATCATGCAACAATCACCTGGGCATCATGCAACAAATATATGTAAAAGGTGTAGAAAACTTAAAACCATTCCAGCTTATAAGACGAGAAAACGTAAAGCCCCTTTGGAGGTTTTATATATATATATATATATATATATATATATATTTTGTATATATACACACATAATCAATCAAGTTCAACTTAAACAACTTAAACAAAACAACAACTTCATAACACAACGTCAACTTATCAAACATCAATTACAACTTTCAATCATCATATATAACTTACAACATGAACAACTTTCATCACAACATAAACAACTTTAAACAACTAATGTGTTATCACGCATATCAATTTATGAAAATCTTCTACAACAGAGGTGCACAATTTAAGTGGTTTAACCTTACCAAATCACTACATCTAACATGTCGCAACCAAGTCAGTTAGATGCAACTTTAAGCCTCCTAGAGCACTTGGTTAACAACTTAAACTAATTCCTCTAGTTTTGCCACTTAAATTATGAAAGTTTGGTATTACTATCAGGGTATAACAACTTGAGTGTGAATTTACTATTGTCTTAACATGCATATCTAAGCCTTATAACATATTAGCCCGTCGACTACTCTCCAAATACTATATACCTTTCCAACAATCAATTAAGAATTTTACCCTTCAATTTCATACTTTATTTGATTGGTCACTTTATACACTCATGACTCAACTTAGCCCCCATACGGTTCAACATTTGGTTGCTTTATAATCAGTATGACTTGACTTGGACCCCACATTGTTTCCATATAAAACCTAGAGGAGACAACTTAAAATAACTATCCATTTATGAGCTAACTTGCTCAATGAAGGATTTTCAAGTTTGAACTCTTTGAACACCACAACTTATATCCACACAATAAGATATTTTAATTTTTAAAACAACTTTATTCTCTCCTAATTTTTTTATATATCTCAACTAAGACATGCATCTCATTATCATATGTCTACGCAACTTAACAACTTTTAAATTAATTAACAATTCACAACTTAAACAACTTTCATTCAACTATCAACTTGCAACTTAGAAACTTAAAACATCACTACACATCATCCTATATTGATGCACAATGAACTAGAATCATACAACATTAAATGGCATGTAAGTAAGCAATACACTTTATATGTTCTCAACACTTAGACAAATAATCAACAAGTTTTTGTCTAGGAAACCATGCCCAACGCCACTCTTCTCACGCATAGTGTCATTAAGGTAGAGTCTTTGGCTCGCCCAAGCTTAGCACCAAACCACTTCGTCCAATGTGGATGAGATAAAGAGTTCCAGTGCCAATCACACTTGATGTAGATAAAACTACGGTTGGCCTCATCCAAGCAAAAAGTCTTTGTTTGACTCACGTCCAATATCACTAAACTAACACTCAACATTGTCCATGTAGAGAGTCACTGACCTGATCTCGCCCAACACCTCTCAACCTGCGCCCAACACTAATCAAGTTAGAGAGCTACTCGAGAAATCATGCCTAATGCCTCTCATTTTCACCCTTGGTGTGACCAAGTTATAGATTTCATCATTGACCCATTCCAATGCTACAAATTTGTTGGGATGCAAGCAAAGTTTCACATCGTTCAAACAAGAGGATGGACATGTGTTTATATACATACAATTGTCTTCATTGGTTGAGAGGCCTTTTGGGTGATGTTCAAAAGCAAAATCGTAAGGGCTTTGGTCCAAAGCAGACAATATCTCACCAATGTGGAGACATGTGTATATGTGTGGTAACTCCCGGTGTCCAACAAAATCCCATGTTTGATGTTGTTAATTAGGACAAAGAACCCTCTAACTTGAGTCGCACCTGACGCGATGAAGAATTTTGCATTTGCCAGAATCTCATTTTGGCTCAAAGTCTACGAATAACTCAATCAAACCAGCACACAATTCAACTTTCACCATATATTCAACATATATAACTCCATTCCAACACAAAATACCAAATGCTACCACCTCAACTTAAGAATCCTCATTTTTCACCAAAACAACTTCAACAAACTACACTTAACCACTCATCTTGATTTCAATTTATCTCGACCACAAATGATGACATAAAATGACTCAAATTATAATCGACCTTAGCATGATCAAAGAGTCATACTAAAATTGTGAAAGACTTAAATTATAATTAACCTTAGTAAAGTTAGAAAATCGTGTTGAGATTGTGAATAACTTAGATAATAACCGACTCTCATATAAATAAATAGTAATATTGGGATTACAAATAACTCATATTATAATCAACCCTAGAACAACCTAAGAAATGTATTGAGATTGTAAACAATTCAATTTAAAAATTACATACTTTATAATTTTATGAAATTATTCAACAAGTTCAAATTGATATTAACTTTTATATGATGTTTGGTTTTAGCTAATTATCTTCTTCATATTAAAAAAAATATCTTGATCATCATTTTTCTAATACATCAAATGATTCAAAATTTTAAAAAATTATTAGAAATCTTAAAAAATGAATATTATAAAATAAAATGCCAGACAAATATTTCATATAAAAAAATCAAAATATTAATAACAAAAATTGACAATTAATAAAAAAGATGTAATTTCGATTGATGTGTGAAATTTTCTATTTTACTGGAACAGTTATTTTTGCTATTTTCGGGTGAAATTTAAGAGCATTCCTAGGTTTAACACGTAACCAAGTGATTTTTCTCTTCTATATGTTTCAATTTACAAAGCTTGAATGCTCGTATATACCTTGCTAGTGCAGATTTGGCGTCAAACCATTCAAACCAAATTAAAATAATGGGAATTGATTTTAAGGCTGTCCAACACAACACCCATTTTCTCCGATATTATGTACAGATGAAAGTTAGGGGGGTGTATTGGATTAGAATTTTAAAGGACTTTTTTAGTTAAAAATTTTTTTGCGGATTTTAAAAGACTTTGTAGGATTTTCATGACTTTTAAGATTTTGCAGGATTTTACAAGACTTAAAATCAGGATTTTAATGGATTCTGCAAGACTTTTAAATCAGGATTTTAATGGATTCTGTGGGATTTTGTAGAATTTTCGTGGATTTTTGACATTTGATAAGATTTCAAAAAAAAATTCATACGTTCAAATTTAAAAAGAGTTAAAGACTAAAATAATAATATGTCTAGATAAATAATAATAATAATTATAATAATTCTCCATAATATCTTATCCTCTTAAATAGCATTCACTCACATATCCATAGCTATACTAGTCCTCCAAGCATTAGCGTCTTTTCGCTCTTGCTCCTGGGTTTGAATAATACGTTCAAAAGTATGATCTTCATTAATTGGTAACGTTGAAGATGAAGGTTCATCCACCGTTTCAATTAGAAATTCATCATAGCGACTTAAAAATTGTGAACATTGATTTAAAAATATCAAATATTCTCTCGATCACATTCCTTAAAGATGCATGACGAAGATTAAACAATTCCTTCTCATTTTCAATGACCTGCAAAATCTTGTAAATGATATCTTACACCTCGAAATGGAGCTAAAAACTTTTTTTAAAATATAAAAAAGTCCTAATTTCACAATATAAAAATAAAAAGAAAAATTCATAGTAAAAAAAATAAAATAATTGTTGAGTCATAAAAGGAGGAGTGATAAGAGTAACAAACTTAAGGAAAGGAGAGAGATCGCAGTTTTTATGCTGAAAGGGTTCTTCCCCCAACTAAGATCCATTTTCATCTTTCACCTTTTTCTTTTCTTGACGTGTGTTATAAAAAAATTACTACTTAAAAGTTGAAATTTCAAGCATTTTTTTTGTGTTATATAAAAGAACAAATTCAACTACATAGAATAAAATAAAACAAGTCAATTAAAGAGAACGAATAGAAAAATAGAGCAAGTTAATAACACTATTATTTACATATCGGAGTTTCACAAAATAGAGAGTAGTACTACAATATTATATATGAGCAATGAACAATAGTACAATATTATTAGCAGAGAAAAAATGGAGAAGACAGGAACATAGAAAAAAAAGATGAAAAAATCACTTGAAAATTCTTGAAAATTCACTTCAAACAATCCTTCAAAATCCGATGGGTTTGGATGGGATTATTTTATGAATTTTGTATTTATAGATAACACTAGAAAGTCCTTCAAAATCCCTCTTACACAACAATCTTTTAAAATCCTTATATTTTTGAATACCAATGGATTGTTTTTAAGTTGTAAAAAATCTCAAATGAATACCAATAGATTTTAATAGACTTTTTAAAAAATCTTGAAAATCCAGATTGAATACCACTGGATTGTTTTTAAGTGATATAAAATCCTGATTGAATACCAATGTATTTTTTTACTAAAAAAAAGTCTTTTAAAATCCTACAAAATCCTAAACTAATACTCCCCCTTAATTATATAATATGCATGACACGTTTGGGTTGTAAAATTGAAGGTTTACATATATTTTTATTATTTGTAAAAAAAATATATTCATTATTTTGTCTCTTGCATACAGTGCATTTTGTCCTCTTTTTTTTAATGATTGTTCCTTTTGACTTTGGTTCTTATATTTTTTAAAAATTAAATATTTCTGCAATATTATTTGATGTGACTTGTGTTGATTCCTACGTTAATGACAAAGACTAAAATGTTAGTAAAACATACACTATTATATTTTATAAAGACATAAAATTAATGTAAAAACTAGAATTAAATATATTATTATATTCATAAGAATTAAAAATAAAAATCACTCAATTTATAGGTAAATAAAACCAAATCCACTATATTTATATAGATGTTAAACATCTTAGTAACGATAGTTCATGGCTAAGACAAAAGTAGATGATAACAAATATTGTAGGGATAAAAGAAAAATGCAGAAACTAAAATTAAAACCTTTTATAATAATTTTGAATCAATGTTAAATGTTATTAAGTTTGTTTTTTTCTCTCTCTAATTAGTATAAACTTTATAAATATTAATGAAAAAAACAAATTATAGACGGAGGATATTCAAAGGTGTTATGATTAAAAGAATATTAATCACTTTTTAAGAGCGGATAGTTTATAGACCGAAAATATATATATTTTTTATATTATCATCTAATTAAAATTTTAATTTTTATAAAAATTAATTAAAGTTATATCTTTCATAATTTTTTATTTTTTTAATATAGTAAAACATTTAAATTATTAATAAATATAAATTAAACTCTACTTTTAAATTTATTATCATCTTGAGGTTGAGTTACATTTCATGTTATTATTATCCAACACAATATTTTAAAATATATAATTATATGATTATTATTAAATAATAAAATTTATTCTTTAAACTATCTTTTACATAATTTATTACTATATTTATATTCACAAAATTTATTTCAAAACATTCATCGTAAACATATTTTTATTTTTTATATTTTGAAGAAATTAAATAATTCGAACAGAAATTAAATAATTACAAGTTATGATAAGTTTCTTTATTTTTATAATAATGATCTTAAAATTATATTAAAAACAATTTCCAATTAATAAACATTATAAAAGTTTTTCCAACGAAAATCATGCCAATTAAATTAACTGTTTTTCCTTTTAAAAGTTCACGAGTCATGACAATGACATAACATAATGTCTAGATTTATATACTTATTTTATTAAATACCGGTAAACTCAATCATGAATTGATGGTTATTGAGAACATGATCGAGTGGAATTCTGATTCATAAAACTAAACTATTCCTATTAAATTAATGGAGGATAAGTAAACCCGTGCAGAAAAGATTGTTGATTGTGTTTTGCAGTGAGAATAAAATAATGGGGTGAATCATGTTTTTCTATTCTCCACCCAATGAGGGAAGGGGTTTAGGTCTTCTCTACGTGAGAAACAAGATATGCTATTAGTTTATAATAATTAAGATGCTACCTTTGCTGATTATGAATTATGATCGGTGGTCCAACGCATCACCACCCATATAATATTGTATCCATTATGTCGACAAAATGTCTAGAGCAATAGCAAACCAATTAGGGATGAAAAAAAAGAAAATGGTACATATAAAATATCTACACACCAATAAGAATAAGAAATGAGTTAATCACTTATATACTATCAGTATAAATTTTTTTTTACACTGACAACCAATTATATCTCTTAATAATGTCATGTCATTTGTCCATTTAATCAAGAGTTAATCAATTATACATTGTCAGTGTAAAGTTTTTTTACACTGACAACTAATTATATCTTTTAATTATGTTATGTCACTGTTAAAAATAAATGTGTTTACAGTGACATGACACAATTAAAATATATAATTGGTTACCAGTGTAAAAAAACTTTACACTGACAGTGTATATGTGATTAACTCTTTAATCAAATAAAAATAAAATAAAATAATTTAAAAGATATGATTGATTGCTAGTGTAAAAAACTTTACACTGACCGTGTATAGATGATTAACTCATAAGAAATTCACATATATTTATAAAATTTGGAGATACACTCTAATGAAAAACAATTAGTACCTCACTACCTAGTCATGACCCATTGCCATCTCTAAATCCAATCCTCTTGACATCCATAATCATACCGATGAATCGCCACATATATAAATACTTTTTTACATTGTAATTTTTTTTGTTAGGCTGTTGATAGTAATGTAATATGTGAAAAAGTGATATTTTTGTGATATTAACACAAATATTTTGAATTGGATGATAAGGAGTTAAGGACTAATTTTAAAAAATATATTTTTTTAGAGCGATTGTATAATACATTGATTTAGAACTAGTGCAGGTATGATACTTATGTTGTTGAATAACTGGATGCAAAATGTTGCAAACAAAAGAGGAAGTACTAGAAAAAATTAAACCAACCACAACTACAGCCACCCAAAAACAAGGAAACGGAAAGACACCAAAATTAGTCAAAGAAATGTTCCATTCCATTGTTTCTTCTTTATACCATGAACTGTTATACTCAAACATTAATTTTGGATATATAACACATAAGAGAATGACTGAGTATTCTTATTTTTCTGGTTACATGGTAAATGACTTATTGTTTTATTCAAAAGATTTTTTTTCTTTTTTAATTTACAAGTTATCTCGAGAGGATAGTGGGTGAACTGAAATTATGTATTGGTTCTTAATCAGCTCCCAACTTGTTAGAGATTTGCATCTTGCAAGAGTAATTTCTCCATTTATTTGTTTCCTTAGGATCTTCATGTGTTTCACATTCTCTGTTCATAATTTTCATCTCCTTGTTGGGCCTTTTTTTCATTTTTTTTTTCTCTTTTCCTTTCATGAAACACAGTGGGATTCTCTTATGGCATTGTCTCAAATCAGTGTGTGTGTCTTTGTTGCAAGCACATAGAGAGTGGCAACAAAGAGAAAGATTGTCCCTGGAAAGGGCAAGAGAATATCTGAAGAAGAATGGACCTGCTGAAACTTCTGATCAGGCCATTCAACTGATGGTGGTGGAGGAGGAGGAAATGTTGCACCATTTGGTTTTTTAACCCTGTGTTGTGGTAATGCAAAATGCACAATTAGTTGAATGTTAAGATTTTGTTTTGCAAATATGTGGTAACAAATTGAAGGGGAAGTGATACATACCTGTTGCTGTTGGGACAAAAAACAATGTCATATTCAAAAGCTTTGCAAATGAAAGTGCTGGTGGCATCATCAAATGCATAGCTATAAGCTTTTGGACAAGCCTGCTTGAAAAGGGTGGAATAATAGGAAGGTTGGCATGTGGTTGGGTTGGCAAATTCACCACTGCAGCAATACTGATCCGATCCAAATGCCTCACAAGCACTCTTACACCCAATTACACCACCTTGGTATCCATCTCCACCAACTACTTGAAGTTCTTTTGGACAACCTAAAATTTTTTTCATTTTATCAATGTCACAAGTACTTTAATCATTCAATCACATGCAATGGTTTTAAAACACATTCTAGTATCTTTACTGTATCTAACTGTAATAGAATCCTCTATTGGAGTAATAACATACAAGAACCAAACTAAATTTTATTATAACATTAAACTTTTGGTCCTCGTAGATAAGATTTAGTCTTGTTTTGATTCTTATATTTCATGTGACTTCATACCAACCCTATGGTATTATAACAACATGAATAAAATGAAAACAATTCTACTACACGAGTGACATGACCAAAAACATTTTTGAAGCTCTTACCTCTGTTGATGTCAGTGACACAACCTGTGGCATTACAAGTGCCAGTACCATATACACCTCTTGGTTGAACAAGCAGTGGCAGATTGTAGCCATCTACCATGCTAACATCATAGAAGTCTTGTTCATTGCCTTGGCCAAGTGTTATCTCAAAGAGTGAGGTAGGAGGAGCTGCACCATTCCCATCACATTCCAACCTTCCACCACAGTCACCAGTTTGGCACTTGCCAATTCCTGTTGCATCAAATGTGCAGCCAGTCCTAGCCCATATCCTTCCTGACCACCCTGGAACACTAGTTAGTTTCACCATTTGGCCTGAGTCCAGCCGGAATCCGGTTGCCGGAAGCGCCGGTGAGCCGGAACCGGAAAGTGTTCCTGGCCATATGGTATGGGGACAGTTGTTGGTTATGGTGAATATTGAAGAGAAAGAATAGGACAAGAAGGTAAACAGAATAGCAAGGAAACTGTGGAACTTGCAGGATGTCCCTATTGGCATTTTCAATGATTGTTATTGGTTGTGTTGTTGTGTCCTTAGAGGAATTGACGATGTGCCAGGAATGACCAATCCTCCCCATATTTGTATCAAGAATATGTGTGCTATGACTTTGTGAGATTCTTTGGCATTACAAAACCAAAATCCTAGGTTGCTTTGGTGAAATTCTCAGCCACAATTCCAGCTACATGGGTTTAGCATTTCTTTTATTGTGGATGGCCTAATTTAGAAGCTATTCTTTGCCTTTGCTGTTTCATTGGAAATTGAACAAATAAGGAAATAATATATCATCTATGTGATTTCTATGATCATGAATTTCCTTCAAAGAATGGTGTCAAAAACTGAGATTCGATCATTAGAAAGTTGTATAGGATGATCCCATAAAGAAGTGACCTAGGATTCCTCCTACATTGGCTAGGCAATACGAAAAGGGGAAACTTGTGTATGAAATTATGCATATTTTTCTACATCTAACCACAACGCTTGACTTCTGTGCAGTGACTTCAGAACATTAACATGTTAACAACTATTGACCTTCCATGGGAAGAAAAGAACAAACTTTTCAACAGTGAATTTGACCAAAAACTTGTTTAATTAAACACATGCTAAATTATTATCAATCTTTCAATGGGAACTGACAAGACAACCCTTAGGAGACTGACTCCACCCACCTGATTGGCTAAACTCACAATGAAAATATTACCTCATTTTTAATAAAATAAAAAAACAATTACAATTTTCTTAGCACATTTTTCTTTTCTATAGGAAATCAGGTTTCGTAATTAACAAGTTACTTTTTGAGAGACTTATATTGAAAGTATACTTACCTTTTTTTCTTTCCTTTCATATTTGTTAGAGGAATTTCCTTTGTAGAATCATCATTCCCGATAGACTTTCCAAACGTAGTATACTGTTGAATGAAAAACAGACAAAATATTTGGCATTAAAAAAATAAAAAAAAATACACTATTTGGACAGTTACATGAAAATCAACTGTTTACGAATTTCAGATTTGGTCCACAATATACACAAGTATCAGGTCACGGTGTATTTCCACTAAAATCAATTGAATATGTACACAAAAAATATTTATTTCCCTTCAATACTTGGTCTTAAATAATTTTCAGCAATTATTCCTACAATTGCAACAATCGTATAGCATACACAAAAGGAGTAAAATTGGTCTAGCTTGGGATTCTTAATTTCTTATTCTAAAATATACTGTCGACTCGGCGTAATCCAATGGGCCGGTGGAAAAAAGCCAAAAAAAGCATCGAGCCTATTTGATACGTTTTCTTTCTAAATTAAGATAAAATTTTTATAAAATGACCTAATTTGATAAGCATCAATAATTTTTCTTCTTCTTATTTTTCTTTCTAAATTACATATATAATTAAAAAATAATGTAACAACTTAGTCTGATTTGATGAGACAATGAGTCAACAAAAACATGATTTGTGTGAAAGTTGGGTCAAGCCAATCCATTTTCACACTTTAACCTGTAGGGTTGGGTCAATTTGTTTTGATATCTTTATTCAAAATAATATGATTTAAAATGATTATTAGATAATTGAGTTTTTTAAACATGTTAACAAAAATTTGATTTCTTATCTATATGTATGAGAAAAGATTTTGTTGAAAGAGTCAAAACTTTATTCACTAATATTTATATCATATAAAATTAACATTTAATTATTCTTTGAAGATATCTTTAGTGAACACAACAAAGATCATATAGCATATTAATTATATATTTACCTAGAAAATTTGACTCTTTTGAGGGGAACAATAATAACCGATAATTAAAAAAAATCAATAGTTGATGTAATTAGTTTTAGATTTTGTTATGAATGTATTTAATTATTTTATAATTTTCAACTAGTTTTGAAACAACTTAATCCTCTAAAGTACATTCCCATCACTAATCCCTAAAACCTTTCTAGTTGGTGTATGAGGATTCTTGTATTCATGTATCGTGATCGAGTTCTCTTATGTTTCTTATTATATTTAGTAGAAATAATTGGCTTATAATTGGATTAACACAAACCTCTCAACCAAGCTACTCATTCTTGGCACGATCATTTTATTTTATTTTATTTTTTAAAATAAGAGGAGAAATAGTAGAAAAGACTAGGGTGATGGGAGGCAAAGAAATACTACTAAAAGTAGATAAATAGCAATAAATCAAGTTTGCTAAAAAGTAATACACAAAACATGAGTAGCTTTATTGAAAGGTTACGCGTAAAATCCAATCGCAAGACAAATTACAATATGAATGAATAAGATGATGATGTCGATGCTTAACAACTTGGGAAAATTTTGAAAGAATTGCTAAAAGTGATATAAACCAAGGCTCATTGACCCAATCGCGTCACTCCCCATAAGTTTTATAAAGCTTAGTTACACTTATAATCTACTTTCAGATCTGTCTATGTTTTGCTCTCCTCTATTTGCTATTAAATCTTCTGAGTAAGAGGGAGGCAGCACTATGCACATGGGTCTTAATGTTATAGCAAACAAAGGGTTAGGGTTAGAGGAATTCATCCATTTGACACAAACATTTATTTTTATTTTCTTTCATAGCTTTTAATTTGAAGGTCAATTTTGACTTATATATTTATTAACTTAAAGTATAACATATAATATTTTAAACAAGATAATAGTAATTAATGGACCTCGTGATCCACGACTTTTGTTGATATGAATACTTGTATATTCTATTTAAGGCACCTATAATCTTTTATTGATAATTATGAATATCATGAATTTTGAGTAATTTATATCATTTTTGAAATTGTGTTTGCACATAATATACATCATAGCATGACAATCAACTCGTTAACCACTATAGCACTTTTAGGATGGCTATGTAGGATTGATAATATTGATACAAAGATGAGCAGCTCGGTTGAGAGGCCTCACGTAAGATTCAATCACAAGACAATTTACATATTTAGCTTAATAACAACTATGTCAAAAGTTGGAAAACGAAAGCTATATTACAAACCTCTAGCTTCACAAATATCAGAATAAAAATCAACATCTGCCTATAAACAGATAAAAGATTAATTACATCTGCCTAGAACAACATATCACAAGTATAAAATTTAACAGATATCATTAACATGGCATTTCCAATCCTCGAAAATAAAAGAGGAGGAATATGCAAGTTTGAAAGATTGGTGTTGGTGCTGCTGCTAATAAGTATCCCTTGTAAGTTTCCCTTTTATTTGCCTCATTGTCACCTCACCATCTACAAAGCAAGTAATAAATCATATAATGCAAATCAACCACGATTTGAAAGTCAATTAATAATTAAGATTAGGCATCCCTACTTTTTCATTTTTCAACATTGTATACCTGTACAGTATCATAAATGTCCTTGCTCCTATTCTTTTGACAACCAGGACTGTTAGGATTACCTACTTAGTCTTTAAACTCTTTGTAGTACCATAGCTGTGGCTTCTCCAAACTTCAGCAAAGAAAGACTTGAGTAGAAGTCGCAATGCCTGCATTCATCCAAGAAAAAACGGCATTAACCAATGATTAATGTTAAAACACAGAAGAATTCTATATCATAAGATTCATTATTGCAACACAAATGTTTTGAAAGCTCCTTCCTAGCATATGCTTCAAAACCTGCACAAGTTACATTAACAGACAGCCAGATGTCAACCAAATACAAATCACAGAAAGAAAAGATATCAGAAAACGATTAAGATAAATGAAAATGTGAACTAGATCATCTCCCTTGAGCCTGTAACAGAAATAAGAAGAGTCAAGCTGCGAAACTGGAACCAATTCACCAGATAACATACCAACAACTTTCTCAGCCTACAGTAGTCAAGGTTAACAGTAGGACCCTAAATAGATTTATCAGCAGGGACAAAATAACTGTTTTCTGTTCATAGAACCATGGAATGCAAGCTCCTGGAAGCAGTACTCAAGTTTACGTGAATGATTTGATTAAGATTCGTATTCAACCTTTAACGAGAGTACCGGGGTTCGTGCTCGACCTCGGGGTTTACGTGAATGATTTGATTAAGGTTCGTATTCAACCCTTAACGAGAGTACCGGGGTTCGACCTCGACCTCAGATATTAATATTAAGGTTCGTATGCGACTTAAATAGAGTTTGGTGGACTTTTATAAGGTTTAAATTCTTCGGAATAGGCATATTAAGGTTCGTATTAGACCTTAGAATAGAGTTAGGTAAGCCTTCACGAGGTTCATTTTCGACCTCGGGTAAGAATGTTTAAGGTTGACCTCAAAATTTTAACGAGGTTCGTTCCTCGGGTAAGAGTATTTAAGGTTTGTACTCGACCTTAGAATTTTAACGAGGTTCATTCTCGATCTCGGGTAAGAGTGTTTAAGGTTCGTACTCGACCTCAGAATTTTAACGAGGTTCGTTCTCGACCTCGGGTAGGAATGTTTAAGGTTCGTACTCGACCTAAGAATTTTAATGAGGTTCGTTCTCGACCTCGGGTAGGAATGTTTAAGGTTCGTACTCGACCTCAGAATTTTAACGAGGTTCGTTCTCGACCTCGGGTAGGAATGTTTAAGGTTCGTACTCGACCTTAGAATTTTAACGAGGTTCGTTCTCGACCTCGGGTAAGAATGTTTAAGGTTCGTACTCGACCTCAGAATTTTAACGAGGTTCGTTCTCGACCTCGGGTAAGAATGTTTAAGGTTCGTACTCGACCTCAGAATTTTAACGAGGTTCGTTCTCGACCTCGGGTAAGAGTGTTTAAGGTTCGTACTCGACCTCATAATTTTAAGGAGGTTCGTTCTCGACCTCGGGTAAGAATGTTTAAGGTTCGTACTCGACCTCA